ATCAGAGAGGCAGAAGGCAGAGGATGGTTGACATGTGCTGGGGAGATAGCTGACTGGAGAGTTACTGTTTCAGTTTTCCAAAATTGTGAGCGAGTAGATGGTTGATGGCTATACAATATTATGTACACATTTAATACCCATGAACTGTCACTGTCCTCCTGTTGTTCATCGATTTTTGAGCAGGTCCAGTAACGTCTCCATCATGAGAATTTGTTGTTACTGTGTTTGGCATATCGAATACGTCAAGGGGAGCTTGCCAGGCTTTGCTGTGTGGGCGAGATACTCTCAGCTTGCCGGCCTCTCCGAGAGGGGGTGGAGGAATCAGACTCGGGTCAGCCAGGTTGGCTGCGTGCAAGGCAAATGCCCTACCCGCTCTGCCATCGCTCCAGCCTACCCATGAACTAAATACTTAAAAATGATTAATATGGTAACTTATGTTAAGTATATTTTCTACAATGGGGAAAAACCTCAACATCCTTTAGAGGGAATTAATCTCATATCTAGTATCATGGAGAGATGTAGATTAATCTATTATCTATTAACCTAATATCAGGGAGAGATGCAGCCAAATTCCCAATATTATGAGAAAAAAGGTTGAACAGAGACTTGGTACCTCCAGAAATACATATGATAGAGCAAGTAAATGTAAGTACTTGACTTTTTTTTTTAAAATAATTAAGATAAAGAACAAGACTAGTAAAATCATGAAATAGTCTTGACCTTACCTGTACGAGATATCTTGGATCCACATTTAAATAAGGAGACAAGGGGTTCATACCAGTTACTAGAGAAAGAACAAAGCAACATATTACACCAAAAATGTAAGGTGATTTCATTTTGTGTTAAAGCTGCTGTTTTGCAATGCGGATTTACAGGCTCCCTTGTAGAATAACAATGGTTTGTCCTTTCTGCCGGGCAGTAGGGAACTTAGGTTAACTGGGCTACTCCCACCACAGTGCTCCCATTCACAGTGTTTATTTGTAACTTCTTTCTTTGTGCTCTGCTGACTTGTAAATATTGTTTTTCTCTTCTCTTTAAGTCCTTTGCATAGTTAATTCAGAGCAATGTCCTTGTTGTACGGTACAGGAAGACAGTAAATGCTATGATTTTGTAATGTGGGAGTTGACTGACTCTCAATTATATTTCTTACCTCCTGGAAATATGTTCTCTCAACCTAGCCTCAGTTGCCCTTACTTCCTAGCACCCCCAAAGCAGGGTCCCGACGAGGGACTAGATGGACCCAGGGTAAGCAATGAGCTATGTGCTATCCTGGCATCGAGATGGGCCTGGCCAAAGTGCCATAATGCTTAACTATGAGTTAAGAGCGTGGTCATGGACAAATGCTGTCATGATCCAAAAAGCAATAACTAGATGCAGACTTTATTAGGGTTAGGAATGATTAATCTGGCCTGAGCACCGCAGTCTGAGTCTGTGGTAAGATGTTCCCAGGAGAGCTGCCTTACAAGCCTTAATGTATCTCTTACTGTGTCCACACAAAAATAACTAGTATTAAGATGTTAATTAAGATGTTAGGAGTAGAGGAATACCCCCAGCCCTTGAGCCTGATGGGTAGTCAGGAAGGGCTTTCTTATGTTGATTTTGCTACCAAACTGGGTGTAGTGCCCAGAGGGCAAGCTGTGGAGAGAAGTTGGGGGCAGAGAGACAGGAGGGAAGAGGCAGAATCTGGAGAGCTGGGACGGAGGAATGAGGGGCTAGGAAGGAGGAGTGTGTGAGATGGGAGAGGGGAGATTGAGTAAATGGCAACTAATCACCTAACCAACAACTAATCACCTAATCACCAACTCCGGTGGGCGGCGACCTTCCAGCCCTGGTAAACTCCTTGACTGAAATTTTCTTCTTTCTATGCTCATTCTTCCCTTTTGGCACTTTGGGATAGCCTCCTCCTGGGGTTTTTCAGGCTCTCATACCCAGCAGATACTGAGGGTGACATAGATCAAAAAGCAAAAATGAGCCCAAGTTAATTATAGAGCTTTTCTATCTTAAAAAATGCTACAATTAGGGGCTTGAGTGATAGCACAGCGGGTAGGGCATTTGCCTTGCACGTGGTCGACCCGGGTTCGATTCCCAGCATCCCATATGGTCCCCTGGGCACTGCCAGGAGTAATTCCTAAGTGCAGAGCCAGAAGTAACCCCTGTGCATCGTCGGGTGTGACCCAAAAATTAAAAAAAAAAAGCTACAATTACATAAATTTTCAAAATAAGATTGATGAGACAGATGAAACCCAAGGGAAAACCATGCTTGGTTTATTGCTGAGTTTTAATGTTTGAGGAGTACTCCCCTACAGTACTTTCTGGGGTGTGGAAACCAAACTCCAGGTGATGCAGACCTCTCAGTAAGGTGCTCAGGCCTGAGAATACACAGCTGCGGGGAACCCAGATTATACTTGAAAGTGTCTGGAGAGCACCAGGCCTGCACCCAATTGCGCTGGGCAGTGCAAGGAGCACCTGAGAGAGAACCAGGCACGTGCTCTAGCCCCTTTAGCAATCTCTTTGGTCCATGTATAAACTATAATCGGAAGGCAGCTCCTTAGATCTTAGTGCTGCCAATTAGTCACATGAGTTGCAAACTATGGCAAGATGGATGAAACTTGGGTCATCACCGTATGAAAGGAAGCCAGGACAAAAGAAAAAAAGCACTAGGGTTCAATTCTAATACTTTTTGGGGGGTGGAGAGGTGGTTCTGTGACTGGGGATTTAACCTGAACAGCTTCATGCAAGTGCCACATTTTAAATTAAATCTTTGGATCTTTCTGTATGTCAGCTGACTATTCACAAAGCATACACTTAGTATGGCTTTTTTTTTGGGGGGGGGGTCACACCCAGCAACACTCACGGGTTACTCCTGGCTCTGCACTCAGCAGGAATCTCCTGGAAGTGTTTGGGGGACCATATACGACGACAGGGATCGAATCCAGGTAGGCCATGTGCAAGGCGCTGTACTGTTGCTCCGGCCCCATTGCTATTATTTTAGACCAACATTTTTTTTTTTTGGGGGGGGGGGTAATGTAGGACAAACTGGCAGGCTACTGAATGTAACCTGCCCACACGGCAGAGTCTGGCAAACTCCCCGTGGCGTACCCAATATGCCAAACACCAGTAACAATGATGGGTCTCATTCTCCTCTAACTCTGAAAGAGCCTTGAATATGACACTTTTTTTTCAAAGTCTCAGGGCTAGGACGAAGAGATGTTACTGGGGCCTGCTCGAGGCAATTGACGAACAACAGGATGGTTGTGATTGATTGTGATTGGGAGTGTAGGGGTAAACCCATCATTACTCAGGGGTTACTACTCAGTAATCAGAAATTATTCCCGGCAGTTCTTGGGGAATGCCAGGAATAATTGGGGTGCCAGGGATCCAGCCCGGTAAACCACAGGCTAGGCAATGGCCACACACATTCTTCTATCCCGCCACCCTTAGACTAACTTAAATTTCACTTGGAGAGCAGCAACTATTTTCTGTTTTTGCTGCTTGTGTTCCTTCAACTCACTTTCTACAAAGCAACTGAAATGATTTTATTTTTTAAGAAAAGACTATCAAGATAGCTTCCATTTCCTCCTGTAATCAAACCCAAACTCTTTACCAAGGCTTCCTGCCCCTACCATCTTCTGATCTTGTTTCACTCCTTTACAGTACCTGGCCCGTTAATTTAAATGACTTTTGTCTCTATCTCCCCACCCACGTTGTCAGAGAAACCCAAGGTTTCCTCTGCCAAGAGTTTTGTCAAGGGCTTATTCGAGGCTCTCTTCACCCAGCTGAATACCCATTTTCCAAAACAGCCCCAATGTTCTGAAATTCACAGGAGTGTGCAGAGGGTTCAGGCAGGAGGCTCACCCTTCTGTACCCACGATCTCGTGTCTCGTGTCTACAAATGGCCGTTCGAGTTCCCTTCCATACCCGACTCCTCCACCAATTATTTTTCTGGCAGCTTTTTTCTCTTCTACATGATTTTATGTTTGGCCACACCGGGCGATGCTCAGCAGCTAAAAATCACCTGAGTCGTTTGGTAGAAAATGAACTGAAGGAACTCAAGCAGCAAAGAGTTAGGCAGGAGATAATTACTGCCGTCCAAGTGAGATTTTAAAAAGCTGGTCTAAGGGGCAGGGCGCATAGAACGAACGTCTTACCCGCTGTACTATGGCTCCATCCCCGACCCCACATGATTTATTTTTGAGGATTTGCTCCCGACTTAAAACATGCGACTTTGTGGCGTAGCGGGCTCCTTTAAGTGGATTTACTTGCAGAACTGTAAATCTAGGATCTCTTCTTAATCGGCGTCGAACATGCCAGTCCCCCCTTGATCCCCCTCCCCCCCACACACACATCGCCCCCCTCTCGTCCACAAAAGCATGCGTGGAAGCAAAGCAGAGGCACCAGGCTTGACCTGGAAAAGACAATGCAACAGTCTCCAGAGCGCAGGGCAACCCCAGCTCGCTTCACGGAGCTCCAGGGCTCCCCAAAGTCGTTGCTTTCTGAAAGGGCGGACGCACCGGCACACCGACCCCGCCACGGTACGCTGTGTGCGAACACCCGCTAAAAATAGACCAGCACGTCCGCACGGTCGCCCGCAGCGGAGCGCGACGCTCGCGGGCGAGGCCCGATACTTACGCGGGACGCCAGCCAGATCCGCGTGCGAATATCCTGCTCCGCCGGCTCCGAAAAAGCCGGCCAACCCCCCCGTGGTTTTGTTGCCGCTTCCCCCGCCGCCCTCCATGGTGATGCCAGCAACTGTCCGCCTGCTCCTCGCCGCCGCCTCAGGCCGGGGTGGTCGGCTCGGCCGTTGCCCCGGAGTAACCAGCGGGAACCCCCCGCGTTCCCACTGGCTCCTTCACACGCTGACCTTCCGGGCGCCGGCGCCCGCTAAGCGCCACACTTCCGCTTTGCGACAGCGTTACGGCCCGGAAGTAGGCGCGCCTGACGGCAGCTTTCCGGCGGTGGGAAAGTGAACGGAGGTGGACTCGGAGCGGCGTTCCCTGAAGCGGGCTGGGTTCCTGAGGCGGAAGTTGCCCGGGCGGCTGGCGAGGGCCTGACTCCCGGAGGCCGGCGCCATCAGCAGCTTCCGAAGACAGGCGGCAGAGGCCGAGAGGGAATGGTGCCGCGGGGCGCCGGGAAAAAGGCGCCGTCCGTCCCTCTCAGGGTTAGTGCATGAGGCGTTCCCGCCCGGGCCGGCCCGGGGACTCTTCGCTGCGGGTCCCAGCATGAGCGCGGGCCCCGGCTGTGAGCCCTGCACCAAGAGACCGCGCTGGGGCGCCTCCGCGACTTCTCCGCCTGCCGCTTCTGACGCCCCCCGGAGTTTCCCCGGCAGGCAGAGGCGCGTCCCCGACCCCAAGGACGCTCCCGTGCGGTCGAGGGTCCCACGGTCCTCGCCAGGCTGCATCCCGGGGCGGGCGGGACCGCTCCGAGGCAGCGCCACCTCGCTTGGTACGTGGGGGGGAACGAAAGACGGTTCGTACTTCGCCTCGGCCCCGAACTTCATCCCGGGCTTTTGTGTCAGGACACCGGGGGACTTGGGGTCTCACCCTTTTCCCGGTCTTGGCGCGCACCCGGGGGTGGTCGTAGGGTCGCCCGCGTCGCCACGCTCCTCCCTTGCCATCGAGAACGCCTGCGGAGCAGCTTTCTCACCGGGCAGGTTTGCTCTCCTGGCGGGGTGGGTGACCGAGCAGATGCCGGGAGAGAAGGTCAGGTGGGGTGTGCGACACGGCCACCTCTAGCGGCGAGGAAAGCGGCCGAGTCCCAGCGCCCCGCAGTTGAGGTTCCAGAGCCCAGGGCCGTAGCGCTCTGAAGTGCCCAGTGGGCGTGGTGGGTGATTCCCGTCTCCGTGGGGCAGAGTGTTGATTTCCCCCGGAGCTTGGTTGGCCTCGGTCTTCATCCTCAAGATCCATCCGGAGAGATGGACAGTTGGCAGAAGTCTGCATAATTAAAAAAAAAAAAAGTGAAGTCACTCTAACCCCTTTAAGGGAGGGACGGCAGCGTTCTGGTAGCAGTCGGGAGAACCCATCCCGGTCTGCGGGGTGGAAAGTAGTTTCTCAGAAAATGAGATTGCCCCATTTGGGTCGGGGTGGGGGGCAGTTGGGTCCAGAGCCTGGCGTTCTGACTTAGGGACTCAGGCGAAGGAAGTGCTCTATCACTGAGCGACACCGGAAATAGGTTTGAGGACTGAAGAATGAGGGGAGGTAGATGAAGAGGAAAGGAGGAGAGGAGAGACTTGTGTCTACTTTCCTCCCCCTCCGCCCCCCCACGGTGAAAGTAGTGGGAGATGAGGTTCGGATGGGTCAGCAAAGGTCAGACCATAGAAAGGAGGGGGGTATCATGGTGGCAAAGCTGAGGATTCTGATCTTTTTAAAATCCGTGCTAAGGATGGGGAGAAAAGGATGTAGCTAAGATTTAGGCTGTAAATTCCCCCCCCCCCACTTCCGCCCCGACCTTCAAGAACTGTTTCCAACTTCTGTAACAGACTCATTTTGTGGTCCCATGAACTTTATTTGAGTATAAAGGAGGAGGAGGGCCTTGGGATATGACTCAAGAGGGAAATTGTGTCTTGAATGTGGGAAAGTCCGAATTTGATCCCTAATGTAGCATGGCACTGCCAGGTGTAGCCCTCCTTGATAGCCCCACCACTGGAAGTGGGTCCTATTAGGCAAGAGAAAGAAGTTAGTTACAAGTGATGGAGGACAGTCATTTCACACTTGGATTTTCTTGTTCTGGACAGAAGAGGAACCAAAATAGTACGTGGGTTGGGCTGTACATGTGTAGATGTTTTTTATATACCTGTTACAGGACACTGATTAAACTGCTTAGATTTCTAAATTTGTATCAAAAGCTGTTGTTTTAAATTTTGCAGTTTTCCTGGAAGTTAGCATTAAGTTTTAAATGTAGTTTCTTAGGAGAAAAGGGTGGGGTAGGGAATCAGTTTTAATTTTGTAACTTTAAATTTTGTGTTACTCATTTTCCTGGGTGTTTCTTATATTGATTGACATTTGCAGATTTGTGGATAGGAGAGAACTCAACATGCTTTTTAGGTTCTGGTGGGGAATGGTTTGTTTAGTTATTGCTTTTGGGGCTCTCCTTTTCTTCCTGATAGAACTACTTAGAGTTTCTCTCCATGATCTAGGGATAGGCTGAATATCGGTCATTGGTGGATGGTTAGAAAACTGGATCTGGCTTGTCCCCTATTCTCACTATTCTTTTAGTCTCAGTGCTATCAGAATCATCGTCATCTTTTGTCATCTCAAAATTCTCCAGCTGTCTATAGTGCTTTTTTTGCTTTTACCACACCTTATATTGTTGCTGCTGAATGAGACTGTGGAGGTGGGGTCTTCCTTTGAAATACACCTGAGTGTTACCATGTTTTATGTCATCTGCTTGTTTCTACAGAAAATTGTATGAACTTTTTAGTTTTTGGACCACATCAGGGGCTACTCGTGGCTCCGCTTGCGATTTGCTCCCAACGGTCCTCAGCAGGCCTTGCGGTGCTGCTGGTTGAACATGCACTCAACCCTTTGAGCTTTGGCCTCCAATGAATGATTTTACTCACTATGATATATAGTATTGATACTGACAGGGTTTCATGCAAGACATGTTCCTATACCACACCATCCATGAGAGTGTCAGCTTCCCATACCATGTCCAGTATCCTCACCCTAGCCTTCTCTTAGCCTCAAACCTCCCCCTACAGTGATGTGCTTCCTATTAAATATCAGTTCTCATTTCTCTTGCCTTTGAGTATTTGTTGTTTCTTTACTGTGTTACTTTTTCTACCATATATGAGGGCGATCATTCTATATCTATCTATTCCTCTCCTCACTAACTTCAGTCAGCATGATACACTCCAGGTCCATTCACCTAGACTCACATAGCATTTCATGTTTTCTTAAAGCTGAGTAGTATTCCAGTTTCTTTATTCAGTCTTCTGGGACACAGGCTCTTTCCAGATGTGGGCTATTGTAAATAGTACTGCAGTAAACAGATGAGTGCAAATGTCTTTTCATCTGAAGAGTTTTGGGCCCTTAGGGCAAATGCCAAGAAGTGGGATTAATTGCTAGTTCATATGGAAGACCAGTTCATAGTTTTTCCAAAAAGACTGGACCAGTCTACATTCTCACCAGTAGTGGGTAAGGACCCCTTTATCCCCACATCCTTGCTAGCACTGGTTGTTTTTAATCTTCGTGATGAGTGCCAGTCTCACTGGCCTGAAGTGTACCTCGTTGTTGTTTTGGTTTACATTTTCCATGTGATCAATGATGCTGACCATTTTTTTTCATATGTTTTTTGGCCATTGGTATCTTGCCTTTGAAGAAGTTTCTATTCCTTTTTGTCGTCACCCTGGCTTTTTAAAAGACATTGTTTGCCTGTAAGGTTATTTTATAACTTTTGACTTTGAGCCTGAATTTACCCTGACTGAAATTCAGGTGGGTCTCTTGTAGGCGGCAGAATGTTTGGTTTAGGTTCCTGCCACTCTATGTCCATTGACCGGTGAGTTTAGCCGGTTGATATTGAGTGAGATTATTGATATGGAGGGATTTATTGCCATAATTTTGTAGGAGTTTAACATAATTGGGGGTTTCTCTTGCCTTTTAGAGAAGAATCTCTGTGTGCTTCTTGCAAAACTGGTTTTAAGGCTAATGCTTTTAAGCTCCTGCTTAAGAGCATCAGCCTTGGATGGGAATGATAATCTAGCTGGATAAAGTGTTCCCAGTAAGGCGTTCATTTCATTCTTCATTTTTACTATATCTCCTCATTTTTTTTCTGACCCTTGGAGTCTCATTTAATAAATATGCCATAAATCTTACAGGATTTCCTTTGTATGTGAGTTTCTTTTTTGATCTTGAAACTTGGAATAAAAAAAAACTTCTGTCTCTGTCTTTAACTTTTGTCAATTTGATTACAAATATTTTAGTTCAGGGTCAGACTTCTTCATCAAGACCCTGCACGATTGGTTTGAGGCTCTTTGTGTTCCTGGAGCGAGCATACGCCATTGGGCTACACTAGCACGCAACAGGGACGAATGGAGACCATACTGGTGCCCGTTCGAGCAGATCGATGAGTAACAGAATGTCAAGTGATCAAGTGATATTTTAGATTTATTTGTGGGGAGGGGAGTACACACCCGGCAGTGCTCAGAGCTTACTCCTGGCTCCGTGCTCAGGACTCACTTCTGATGGGGCTTGGGAGACTATATGGGGTGTCCGGGATCAAACCCAGATCGTCCGCATGCAAAGCAAACACTCTACCCTCTATACAATCACTCCAATCCCATGTCTTGGGTTTTTTCTTTTTAAGTCTCTCTTTGCTGGGACCCATCAGGCCTTTTACATCTGTGCGTATGTACTCTTCAGTTCTGGGAATATCTTTTCTGTGATTTTTTTTGAACTACTGATTCTTCTTATCTCTTATTTATTTATTTTTGGTTTGTTTTGTTGTTTTATAAGACTACTGGTTCCTCATTGGTTTCTCCTTCCACTTCTTCAGGTACTCTGTTTCTTATATTATTCCTCTTGAGTTCGTCCCCTAGTTTCTTGGTGTGATGTTCATTTTTTTTTTCAGTCTTTTTTCTGTATTTTGTTGGTTTATGTAGATTTCTTGCATTCCCTCATGGAACTCACTAGCTTGCTATTTTTTCCCTTAACTGTTGTCACTCTGCTCTTGAGGCCTTCCACTGAATTGTTGTTGATTTTTTAAATTTTACTTACCACAAAAGTTCTCTCACTTTTGATTATAGTTTTCTTATGTGTGCGCTCATGCTTTCTTACATACATAGCATTGTTTCTTAAAGCTCATTAAACATTTGTATCATGTTTCTCTGTATCGTGTTTATTTGTATTGTTTCGTTATCTGAGAAGTTATAGAACTGGTTGGTGCTAGTAGAGTCTTCTGAGCTATTATCTTTATTCCTTGGGCTTGGTGAACTTTTACGTAGTTTCCCCATTGTACCTGCAGTTCTTTGGGGGCTTAGCAGGGTTAGGGATAGTGGGATGATGCTGCAGGCAAGCACTGACATCCAGGACTTCTCTGGGACAGGGATTGGGCTGGGGGCTCTAGGCTAGGGTCTTGATTTGCTTCTCAGGCTCCAGACTGCCAGGGACCTGCTCCATTGGGCGCACTCCCCTGGGAGATTAGCAGGATTGGGAACAGTGCAACACAGCTATAGGCAGGCACTTACACGAGGGACTTGGAATTACATCTCTTAAGTTTGACTTAAGAGTGCCCAGGCAACACAGTACCCAAAAGAAGAGAGAGAGAACAAGGGGGAATACCCTGCCACAGAGGCAGGATGGGACGGGGGGAATGGGGGGTGGGGGGGGATGCTGGGACCCGTGGTGATGGATGACGGGCACTGGTGGAGGGATGGGCACTTGATCATTGTATAACTGAAACCCAAGCACAAAATTTGTAAGCCTATAACTGTACCTCATGGTGTTTCACTAATAAAAAAAGAGTGCCCAGGCAGTGCTCAGGGAGCTTGGGGGTTGTGGTTCAATGCTAGGACCTTGTCATTATGGTACTACTCAGGCTCAGTGGTATAATTGTGGTGGGGTGTAGGGAGGTAACAGGCTACAATCCAGTATTTGTTTTGACACAAATGACAGTCTCTCAGGGGAGGGGCATAGTTTTTCCTTTATGTGCTTATTATTCAAGACCCAAGTAGACATCACATGTTATCCCACTTAGTCAATATATCTAAAGAAGATTTAATAGGAAATACCATAATTCCTTCAAAAATCTCTTTGAATACCAGATAGTTAAGGAATAGCATTTAAGGGCCTGAGAATTTGGGGCAGCAGTTGAGATATTTGACTTGCATGCCACCATCTCCAGTTCGATCCCAGGCACCACATGTGGTCCCTCAGTCATCACCAGGAGTGATCACTCTGCACTGAGCCAGGAGTAGTGTCTGAGCACACCCAGTATGACTCAGAAACTGAAAAAGTATATATATATATATTATTTATATATATTTATATAAGTTATTTATATATAATATATATTAGTTATTTATATATATATTTAAATATATATAAAGAACTAAAATGAATATCTGCCAGTTAGTGCCCTATATACTTTTCATGGGCTATTATTTTATTTAGACCTTGAGGTAGCTTTAGGAGTGGTATTTTTAACTGACACCTTTATAGATAAGAGATCAAAGTCTTTAAGACATGGCTTCTTATAAAGCCACTTAGGTCTCCGATGGGAGATTCAGGATTTGAATCCAGATGGTGTGACTCCAGAGCCTGTATACTAATCATTATTGAACATACTAACTTAGGGACTAGTCACTTTCTACTCTTTGCCAAGTGTATTTATATTCATGTTCCTCTTTTGTGTCCTATTGCTTGCATATGTAAAAAGTGATTAACCTTTGTTTAACTCAGAGAACTTTGTGTGTATATATATATATACACATATATATATTTATGTAGATACTTTCTCTTTGTAGGTGTAAATGCATATACATTAATATTTTGGGGTTGTTTTTTTTTTTTTTTAATAGTTTCCAGACAGAAGACTATTACCAGTTGGATGGACACTAAAGGAATCAAGACAACAGAGTCGGAAAGGTATAAAAATATGCATCTGTGGAGGAATGAATAACATGACATGGGTGCTTTTATTTTGTTAATGCTATTTTCTCTCCTTGTATTCTCATTTTTTTTGTATTCATTTATTCTTTTAGTTTCTGAAATCTAATGTTTTTTTTTTCGATGCTTTTATTGTGTAATGGCAATATATGCATAGCACAGCGGGTAGGGCGTTCGCCTTACACGCGGCCAACATGGCCGACCCGAGTTCGATTCCTCCGCCCCTCTCGGAGAGCCCGGCAAGCTACCGAGAGTATTCGATATGCCGGACACAGTAACAACAAAGTCTCCAATGGAGACGTTACTGGGCCCGCTCGAGCAAATCGACGATCAACGGGAGGGCCTTTATAAACTCTATAGTTTATTTTTTTCCACAGCATTATTTTTTAAGTGTACATATAGTATTTAATATCTACCAGTATTGTTATGCAGTTAATTAGATTTGGACCTAGGATTTCAATTTCAAGTCTATTGCTTAGTAAATTGATTCCCTTTGAGGTCTATTTGCTATTATTTTGATATACTTATATGCCATTAACAATATTTTGGATACATGTCTCCATCTCAAACAAATTCATCTCAAAAATTATTATTTTATAGTATTCCATCTCAGAAATAGTATTTTATCCTGAAAATGCTATTTGTTCTAAAGATCATAAAGTGAAGGCAAAGACCTCATACAGAGTTTAAGGCTCGAGCTTTGTATGCCTAGGTACCACATATGGCCCTTTCTCACCACCAGAGAGGATTCCTGAGCATAGAGTCAGGGTTATGACATGAGCACCGATGGGTGTGGCCTTACAACCAAAGTAAATAAATTAAAATATTATATGCCAACCAGAAACACAATTAAGTTGTCATAGGCCATCGGGTAAATTATGGTTAGAAAATTATTTTTATGTGTTTATGAGATGAGGAAAACAAGTAACACTGAAATCTAATTTTTATAGTCTCATATCTTTTATAGCCTCCTATGTTTCAAATATCTCTTACATATTTGAGATGGAAAGACAAATGAGGGCCTGGTAAGATAGTACAGCAAATAGTGTGCTTGCCTTGTGCCTGACTGACCCGTGTTCGATCCCTGGCATCCCACGTGGTCTCCTGAGCCCACCAGGAGTGATTCCTGAGCACAAAATCAGGAGTAGCTCCTGAGCATCTTCAGGTGTGACTCTTCCCCTACAAAAAAATTAATAAAAGACAAATGAATGATAGTTTCTGTCCTTAAGATATTTACAGGATTGAGAGATCATGCAATGGACTGGAGTACATGTTTTGTATATGGGAACCCTGATTTTGATCCCTGATACTACACAGTTTGAGTAACCCTGGGAGTAGCTCCTGAGCATTGCTGGATGTGTCATGTCCCCCAGAACCAAGAAATTATTCATGTTTTGATGACAGGCACAAAAGCACATAGAAATTATATATATAATAAATATGACAGTGAAGATATAAGCTACGAGGAGGCTAGCATATAGAGCAATCAACCATACCTCTACCTGAGAGACTACAAAGAAAGTGAGTATAGGTTAAGAATTAAAAGAAGGACTAGGAGCAGGTGTTTGCCAAATATGCAGTTGAGGAATGGGCATTATGGGCATATGTGAAAAGACATGGATTTATAAAAGACTGTGCTGTATGCTCAGGTAGTTATAGATCGTTTAGTTACTGCTGTAACATTTTCATAAGTGTGGTTGAGTAATTAATGTTTTTGTTTCATAATTTCTACTCTATAATTATTTCTTTGTGTTTTCTTATAGTTTGCATAGTAAAGAAAACAACAACACAAGAGTAGAATCCATGACGAGTTCTGTGCAAAAAGACAACTTTTATCAACATAATATGGAAAAATTAGAAAATGTCTCTCAACTAAGTCTAGATAAATCATCGGTTGAAAAAGGTACACAGTATTTGAACCAGCATCAGACTGCAGCTATGTGCAAATGGCAAAACGAAGGAAAACATACAGAACAGCTTTTGGAAAGTGACCCTCCAGTAGTCACACTGGTGCCAGAGCAATTCAGTAATGCTAATGTTGGTCAGTCACCCCAAAATGATGATCCCAGTGACACAGAGAGTGAGGAAAGTAGGGATAATCAACAATTTTTGACTGGTAAGCTTACAAAGCAGAGTATAGAATATGAACAGGTCATAGAAGACAGAAGTCAACAGAAATGTAGCAAGTCTTGCCATCCTGTGGAAGAGTGTGTAGGTTGTGAGTCAGAAGAGATAGATGTGGGACCAGAGAGTCCTTTGTCAGACATTGATGATGTTGGTACTGGACTGAAAAATGCCAATAAATTGAGTAGACAAGAAAGTAGTTTAGGGAATTCTCCATTTGAGAAGGAAAGTGAACCTGAGTCTCCAATGGATGTAGATAATTCCAAATATAGTTGTCAGGACTCGGAAGCAGATGAAGAGACAAGTCCAGGTTTTGATGAACATGAAGAGAGCAGTTCCTCTCAAATAGCAAATAAATCAAGGTTCCAAGCAAGGGAAGCTGACACTGAGTTGAGAAAACGGTCTTCTGCTAAGGGAGGGGAAATGAGACTACATTTCCAATTTGAAGGAGGAGAGAGTCGTACCGGCATAAATGATTTAAACACCAAAGCACCTGGAAACACTTCCAGTATGAATATGGAATGCAGAAGCTCCAAGCTGCATGGAAAAAAGGATTCTAAAATCACAGATCATTTCATGCGAATACCCAAAGCAGAGGACAAAAGGTATTATTTTCTATTAGGAATTATCCCTGTATGTTATATAATATTGTTAAGTGATTTAACAAAGTTATTGTTTACACTGGAACAAAGAGCTGTCTCATAAACTATGCTAGGAAGGTTGTTTTCCTTTATTTTTGTCAGTGCCACAGCATTATATATGCAAAACAAGTGCTCTACCACTGAGCCATATCACACACCCTTAAAATTTTAAACTCTAAAAAGGCCTGAAACATAGTAGGAAGTAAAAAAAATTGTCAGACTTCCAGTATCATGAAGTTCCTTCTGAAATTTATGGAAATAATCAGAAAAAAAAATCAGATTGTAGTTAATCAGTTACAGTTTGGAGACTGAAGTGATAGGATAGCAGATTGGGTGGTTGCCTTGCATGTGGCTGACTGGGTTTGATCTCTAGCACCCAGTATGATCTGAGACTATCAGGAGTGATCCCTGAGTACAGAACCAGGAGTAAGTCCCTGAACACTGCTGGGTGTGACCCAAAAACAAATGCAAAAAAAGAGAAAAAGATACATCTTATTTAGCCATTTTCCTAGATGTATTTTTGTTTAGCTGTCTTTCTCTGCTGCAGGTAGATGATACTGTATTCATTTCACAAATGAGAAAACTTGATGTTTGGGTGAGAATTTACTGGAATTAACTTGTGGGTGGTTATGCTGGGATTCAGTTTCTTTCTTTTTCTCTTTTAGCTTTTTTGGGTCACACCCGGCGATGCACAGGGATTACTCTTGGCTCTGCACTCAGGAATTACTCTTGGTGGTGCTCAGGGGACCACATGGAACGTTGGGAATCGAACCTGGGTCGGCCGAGTGCAAGGCAAATGGCCTACCCATTGTGCTATCGCTCCAGCTCCATCAGTTTCATTTTCAGTTCAGTTTCCTTCTGATTACAAAGCAGACATTTAAAAAATTAATCATGTGGAATCTTAAAATCTTCATAAATCGTGATCTTTATTTACAAGTATGCATGTTTAATTCACATTGTTGAAATTACTGCCTGTAAACCTGAGAAGCAGTAGATATAGGGTACTTTGGAACTATTGTGTGTTCTTGCTCCAGGCTGCTACAGTTATACTCTGTGAATATTTGAGTATTTTGGTTTCCCAGTACATATAGAAGTTATTGTTAGGCTGCACTGTAGTTATTAAGTGCACAATAGCATTCTGCCTTTAAAGAAAGGAATGTTATACTTTAATTAAAAAACACATTATTGTGGGCCAGAGAAATAGAACAGCAGATAAGGTATTTACCCTTCATTACAGCTGACCCAGGTTTAGTCTTTGGCATCTCACCTGTTTGCCTTAGCACTACCAGGAGTGATCCCTGAATGCAGAGCCAAGAATAAGCTGTGAGCACCACCGGGTGTGGCAAAAAAAGAAAAAAAGTGCTTGGGCACTGATGGGCTTGAGCACTACTAGGTATGGTCACGCAACAATTAAAAATAAAACAGCTTCGTTGTTAAAAATTCTGTCCATCACCTGATCCTTCTTGGTAATCTGGTCTTCTCTCAAGATGTTGATGTTGATGACTACTGGTGTTGGTTGCTAAAGATCATGACAGCTGTGGCAATTTCTTAAACAGTATTAAATTTAAATTTGGGGAACCAGAGAGATAGTACAGTGGGTAGGGCACTGCTTTCATGTTACTGACCCTGGTGTGATCCCTAGCATCCTGTCAAGAGCAAGCCCTGACCACTGCCAGGTATGGACCAAAAAGAAAAAAAAAACAAACTGAAAAAATTTCTGTATTGAAGTTTGCAATATTGTGTACTTCTTTTACGGAAGGTTTCTTTGTGATGTGTTGTGCTTTTTGATAGTATTTTACCTATGGTAGAATGTTCAAGGGCTGGCGCGATAGCACAGCAGGTGAGGCGCTTGCCTTGCATGCAGCCGACCGGGGCCGACCCCGGTTCAATTCCTCCGTACCTCTCGGTTCAGTTCCTCTGCACCTCTCAGATAGCCCGGCAAGCTACCGAGAGTTTCTCGCCCGCACGGCAAAGCCTGGCAAGCTACCTGTGATGTATTCAGTATGCCAAAAACGGTAACAACAAGTCTCATAATTTGTTGTGAAACGTTACTGGTGCCCGCATGAGCAAAAGCGATGAACTACGGGAGGACAGTGACAGTGATAGTGACATAATGTTAAAAATTGGAGTCAATCTGTTAGACCCTGCTGCTCCTCTATCAGTTAAGTTTATATAATATGCTTTTGGGGTAGGGGTACTCCCAGAAGTGCTCAGTACTTAACTCCTGCCTCTGTACTCAGGAATCACTATTTGCAGGGCTTTGGGGACCATATGTGATGCTGGGAATGTACAAGGGAAGTGACCTACCCACTATGCTATTGCTCTAGTCTCAATTTTGTATAATAGTCTAACTCTTTGTCCTTTAAACAATGTTTATGGTATCTTTAGGATTCAATCTCAAGAGCAAAAATTTTGTAACTGCTTGTCCAGTTTCTCATCTGTTAAAATTTTGTTTTAAGATTGTGTCAGTTCAGGTGTACCTTTTCAACTACACTTTTAGTTCTAGTTCTCTTATCTTCAGTTACTTTTTTCATTGACTTCTTAAGCTCCTCAAGGTCATGATCTCAACAGAGGATGTGAAATATCCAGTCAACCATGTTATATACAGATGTGTTGTCATCAAATTTGTTTTTTCACTTGTAGTGCAAAGGTAGAATAGACTTAACCATCGTGGGCTAATGAATCTGATGACTTTCGGAGTGGTTTCAACTTACATGTCACTATATTTGTTAGCCTATAATAAGACAGTCACATTTTCTTGGACACTTTGAGTACAGGCATTGAATTCTCTTTTGCTTGAAAGTCTTAGAAATCATCTTTTTTCTAATATAAGGCTATTTTGTCTATGGTGAAAATCTTTTGTTAGCTGTAGCTACCATTTTCAGTTACCTCTGCTAGATATACTGAAAAACTTGCTACTGCTTTTCCATTGCCATTTGCTGTTTTACTTTGCGTTTTTGTGTTGTATACATGTTACGCTGCTTTCGTCTATCCTCATGAATAGACCTGTGCTAGTGTGGAATTTTTCTTCTGTAGCTTCCTTTCCTCTCAACTGCTTTGTCTTAAGGGAATGTGCCAAATAAGGCTATTTCACTTTTTTTTTTTTAACAGTTAAGTATACTCTATTTAATGAAAAGGAGCCCTTTTCCTGTTACAATAAGTGTGTTAGATTACAAACTTTACATGAATAGTTTGTTGGGTAAATTCTCTCTCTCTCTCTCTCTTTTTTTTTTTAATGTAGGAGTACTGCTATTTATTCAGCCACTGATTAGGCTGATTGAATTTTGCATGAACTCTACGGCTATTTCACTTTCTTATCATTAGTTTGTTCACTGGTGTTCACTGGAGAAGTGCATTTAATTTCCTTCAATAATTTTTTTGATATTCCCAAAATGGCTAATTGGTGAAAGACTAGTGTTCAGCCTGCTTTGACTTTTGACATGTCTTCTTTACTATTCTTAGTCATATCTAGCTTCTTTGTGGTAAAGAAGATGGTAGGGAACAAATCCAAGGTCTACATATGCAAAGAATGCACTCTACCACTGATCTACTTTCCTGGTCCCCTATAGCTTTTTGCTGTTTTGGGGGGGGAGGAGGGAGTTCCACACCTGGTGATGTTTGGGTTCCTCCTGGCTCTGTACTCAGGAGTTACTCCTGGAGGTGCTAGGGGTACTATATGGGATGCTGGGGATCAAACCTGGGTTGGCTGCATGCAAGGCAAACATCTTCCCTGCTGTACTATTGCTCTGGCACCAGTTGCTTTTGAATTAAAATTAGAAATGTGTAATTTTTTCACTTGAACACCTAGAGGGCAATGTTTGGCTTAATTTCAGTTTTGCTGTGTCTCAGGGAATAGAGAAGCATCATGAAAAGTACATGGGGAATAACTGGGGTCTGTGGAATAGTCAGAATATACATGTTTATTGAGTTTACTGCCTTTTATTGGCAAGAAAGTTGGTACTCCCAAACAATTTCAGTTGTAGCATGAAAGATCAGTAATCACAAATTACCATAACATGTATAACAAATCTCACAATGTTACCGCTCGAACAAAAGTTTGAAATATGATAATTTACCAAAAGATAATAACAAAGCAATGAAGTGAACATATGCCAATACCAAAGGGTGATAAACAATGAAATTAGAAAAATGGTGCTGATAAACTTGGCATCACTCAGGTTAAGTCCAGACCTTCATTTTGTATAAGAAATAAATAAACAATATCAGTGAAGCACAATAAAAATGACGTATGCCTGTAAAAGATACCACAATTCATTAGGCAATATCCATATTCTGATAATCTTTTTTCAAAAAGTGATTCACATGAGTTGGGAAATTTCCTCCGCAGATTACTGAAAATAAGTCCTTTGGTTTTATGATCATCTTTATTATGCTTGAGGGAATACCAAGGTTGGGGGTAACCTGGCACATTTTAAATGATTATGTTTGGTAAGTTTTGTATTTGTGTAAGTGATTTGTGACTGAGTATATTTGTTTCAACCTCAGAAAAGAACAGTGTGAAATCAAACATCAAAGAGCAGAAAGGAAGATCCCTAAATACATTCCACCTCACCTTTCTCCAGATAAGAAATGGCTTGGAACTCCTATTGAGGAGATGAGAAGAATGCCTAGATGCGGGATCCGGCTGCCTCTTTTGAGACCATCTGCCAATCATACAGTAACTGTTAGGGTCAGTATTACTTCTTACCTTTAAAGAGAAAATTCTAAGTCTTAGTTTCTTGCAAGACTAATTAATGTGAAGAAAAAGAGCATACTTCTTCATTCTTCACATTTGAAATATTAAGAAGTCAACAGTATGATAGAATAGAATAATAACCTAATTTTACTTAAGGAATTCATAACAATGACTCATTGTCAGCAGATTAGGACATTGAATTTTTGATTTTTTAAAAAAGAAATTGTTTTCTATAAAGCTGTTGATATGTATACTTCTGCTGTATAATGTGTTGTACTTCTACCATCGCCAAAGTGCCCAGTATCCTCCACTACTATAATTATGTCACTTCTAGTTCTCTACATCCATTCCAGTCCCCTGTCCACCCCTCATTTGATAATCTCAGTTCTGTTGTCAGAATTCTAGTGTTTTCATTTACCATTGTCTATTTCCTTTCTTTATTTCTTTATATTCCACATGTGAGTGAGATCATCTGGCACTTTTCCTCCTTCTGACTGTTACATGACACCCTTTGATTCCTTCCAAGTTGTAGCAAAAGGCAGGATTTTATGTTTTCTTAAAAGTGAGTAGTATTCTACTGGGTATATATTTGCTAGAGTGGGCCCAGTAACTTCTCCATTGTGATAATTTTTACTGTGTTTGACATATCAAATACATCACGGGCAGCTTGCCAGGCTTTGTCATGTGGGCGAGATACTCTCGGTAGCTTGCCGGACTCTCTGAGAGGGGCGGAGGAATCGAACTCGGGTTGGCCATGTTGGCTGCTTGCAAGGCAAACACCCTACCCGCTGTGCTATCGCTCTGGGTATATATGTAATTTTTTTCCCATTTTTTAATCATAAATTTTCTTTATTTATAAAGAAACCTCCACAGTCAGTTATATGACCCCTTATGGAATTGTGACCCACAGTTTAAGAAACTAGGATCTGGAGAGCACCTGTGGTGATGTCACCATGTGATTAGCATTAATGTCCTCCATTTTCTGGGGAAAATGGCCTGCAGTGCTTGGGTGTCACATTACTGCCTTCTAATATACCGTAAATTTTTTATCCACTTATTTTTGTTGAACATTGGTTGTTTGAGGCCTTGGCTACTGTAAATAGCATTGCAGTAAACATAGGTGTGCGTATATCTTTCCTAATTCATGTTTTTCTGTTTTTGAAATAGAGACCACGAAGTGGAATTACAGGGTCCTATGGTAGTTTTATATTTAATCTTTTAGCATGTAATCCTGCACAGTTATTCCACCGTATACTTGTGGAAGTATAAACCCTAAGGTGCTTCTTGTTCTAAAAGCATTCACAGCAGGTAATGGGACTACTAAGGAACAGAATATCATGCCATTCTCAGTTTTTTATTTTGTCTCCAATTAGGTTTTGCCAAGAGTGGAATTGTAAATCCTGGTGCCTACTCTTCCTTTCTCAGTTGAATTTTTGAACTTTCAGCCTACTTTTACAAACCCTTCCTACTATTGGGATCACTCTCCTTAGATGCGATATCAATCAGACATCTGTGTTGCGCAGTCACAGATCTCTTAGAGATAGTGACTTTATTCTCTAGTGGATTTTCTCCAAGTATTCAATGCAGGATTCTTTGATTAATTCAGGTCTTTTTACTTTCTTTATGTTGATACCATGGTAGTGTGCTCAGACCCTTCCCTTCTGAATTTAGAATTTTAAATAAAATGCACTGGATTCTTTTTATTTTTCCTTTTTCCTATTGACAGTATTTATTGAGCATCCGTTGCATGCTAGTTACTGATTTAGTCCTTAAAATTCTAAGTTGTATATAGTCCAGTTTTCTCAAATTATTCTCTACTTTTGCCTTCTTTTTCTGTGTTTCAGATTTTCTAGACCTTTCTATCACTGTCCCATGGGTATCTTATACACACACATCTCACACCAGCAAAAATTTAAAAGTAAATGTGTTAAAGGACTGGAATGATAGTGTGGCACGTAGACTACTTGCTTTGCATTTGGCGACCCATGTTCAATTCCGAGCACCCCATATAGTTCCCCAAGCCCCACCAGTAGTGATAGTGGAACACTAAACCTGATTCAATCCCTAGCATTGCATATGGGTTCCCAAGCATTGCAGAAGTGACCAGTGAGCACAGTGCCAGGAGATTGTTCCTTTGTTTTGCTTCTCTACGTCCCACATGAGAGTATTTATCTTTTTCCTTCTAATGTATTTCAGGTAGATGACCTATTCCATTCATAGTATGAAAGACAAATTTCATCTTCAATTTTCTTTTTCCCCCTCCTTCCCTTTCGTATTGATGTGATTGTGGAGGGGGGCATATTGGGGAATACACATACTTGATTGTGATGCTCACACATTTTAGTTGTGGTGGTCACTAGGAAGTTAAATATCAGCTGTAGAGCACACACAGCCATAGTGCCAGGTGTTGAATTCCTTTTAGTTTTAGTGCTTGCCCCTGAGCATGTGGGAAGTTGAACTGACTACAGTGCTTGGGTGTTTTTTTAGTTACCAGGAGATGAATGCTTTTATTTCAGTGCTCCATGGCTGTGACTGCAGTGTGGCTAGAAATCAGTTGTGACATTGGGGATCTCAGACTGTGCTGGCAAAGCAGGCACATTAGCCACTGAGCCATCACCTGGCCCCAGGATTTATCTTTTCTTATTTCGTTATTCATGTATACCTTATTTTCTTTATTCATTCATCCATCTGTCATTGGGTACTTGATTTTTTTCCCCCGTACTTTATTATAAACCCCTTCAGTGGATATAGATGTGTCTATGTCTTTTCAAATTAGTGTTTTGTATGATTTGGATTGATACCTTAGAGTGAATGCCTGGAAGATCTAGTTTTAATATTTTGAGATTTCTCCAATACTATTTCCATAGAGGTCTGAATCAGTTTACATTCTCATGAGTAGTGTGTGAGGGTTCTTTAAAAATCTTTATTTTAAGCCAGAATCTGGAAAAAACCTGAGTGCCCGAGAACAGATGACTGGTTAAAGAAACTTTGGTACATTTACACAATGGAGTACTATGTAGTTGTTAGAAAAGACGAAGTCATGAAATTTACATACAAGTGGTACTACATGGAAAGTATCATGTTAAGCGAAATGATTCAGAAAGAAAGGGATAGTCATAGAAAGATTGCATTCATCTGGGGAACATAAAGTAACAAAATAGGAAACTAACACCCAAGAATGGCCGAGATTAGTACCAGGAATTTTACTCCATGACTTGGAGGCCAACCACACATACTAGGGGAAAAGGGAGCTCAGATAAAGAGGGGAACACCAAATAAAGGTGTTGGGAGGACCCTCCCATGATGGGAGAAGCATGCTGAAAGTAGACTTGAGACCAAACATGGTTGACACTCAATGTTTTTTTTGCAAACCACAACAACCAAAAGGAGAGAGAGAACAGAGGGGAATGCCCTGCCACAGAGGCAGGGGGGCATGGGGGGGATGGGGGGTGGGAGGGATACTGGGATCCATGGTGGTGAGAAATGGGCACCAGTGGAGGGATGGATATTTGATCATTGTATAATTGAAACCCAAGCACAAAAATGCATAAGTCTGCAACTGTACCTCATGATGTCTCACTATTAAAAATTTTTTTAATTAAAAAAATTTTTTAAAAATCTTTATTGTATTAGATATATTTGAAGGTCATTGTAAAAAATATGCTATTATGAAGAAATATGTAAATCAGAAAACTGATGTTCTCTTCATCTTAATCCAAGAATTAACAATTTAGTGTATTTTCTTCCAGATTCTTTTTCATGAATATGGTAACATACATTTGTAATAAATAGTTATTAAATGGGCTGCAGTGATAGCACAGTGGGTAGGGCATTTGCCTTGCAAGCAGTCAATATGGCCGACCCAAGTTCGATTCCTCCGCCCCTCTCGGATAGCCTGGCAAGCTACCAAGAGTATCTTGCTCTCACGGCAAAGCCTGGCAAGCGCCCGTGACGTATTCAATATGCCAAACACAGTAACCATTGTCACAATGAAGACGTTTCTGGGCAAATTGATGAACAATGGGAGGACAGTGACAGTGAAATGACTAACCCATAGTTACATTTCTAAGAGGCAGGAATAGTGACAGTATTTGCACTGCACTGCACTGCACTGCACTGCACTGCACTGTCCTCCCATTGTTCATCGATTTGCTCCAGTGGGCCCAGGAACGTCTCCATTGTGAGACTTATTGTTGCTATGTTTGGCATTTTTGAATACTTCACGGCTAGCTTGCCGGGCTCTCCAAGAGGGCGGAAGAATTGAACCTGGTCGGTCAGGTGTGCCGTGTGCAGGGCAAACACCCTACCTGCTGTGCCATCTCTCCAGCCCAACAGTATTTGAAGTAATAAAAATAAAGCTTACATTGGTATTAGGGCTATAAAGCAGTCTGAAATTTTGTAGACATGGTGACACCCAGTTCTTGAGAATTAAAAATAAACACCTGGGGTCTGTGGCTGTAGCTCAGTAGTATAACCTTTGCTTTGGTCTCTGGTGTCACAAAACAAAACAAAGCACACTGATGAATACACACATTGATACACAAGCACACATACACACATACTGATGCACACATGTGTATACATATATATTCATGCATGCACACAAAGCTTAGTCCCCTGTTAGTGAGCTTGACTGGTACCTATTCTCACCACAGATTATGTGGAACATCTTTACAAAAACACCTTGGGGCCTCCATTTGGAGAAAATACACTCAACATTATTGATGACTAAGCCACTTTTAATCATTTTGATTTTGGAATTTAGATCCATATTAGGAGGTAGTTGGGGGTTTACTCTCAGCAGTGCTGTGGGGGAGTAGGGTGGAGGTGGGGGGAAATGGGGGCATCTCCAGGTGTGACCCAAAAAGAAGAAAAAAAAAAAACAAAAAGAAAATGTTGAAAACTGAGGTCATCATTTGGATTCAGAGTTTAGGCAGAGGGGGCGCAATTAAAGGATTAGAATCCTTAAAATACAAAGATAATGTTATTCCCAAGCAAGATTAAGAGTTTAATTTTTTTTTCATTGAGAGTCTGTGATTTACAGTACCACTAATAGTGTTTTCTTATGTACATAATTCCAACACCAAACTTGTATACCAGAGTCTCCAAATCTTTCCCCGAACCACCTCAACACCCATCCCTCTCATTCCTTCACATCCAACTCAGTTGTGTAGATTAAAAGGTAAGGTAAAGGTAAAGGCCCTCCCGTTGATCATCGATTTGCTCGAGCAGGCCCAGTAACGTCTCCATTGGAGACTTTGTTGTTACTGTGTGTGGCATATCGAATACGTCACGGGGAGCCTGCCAGGCTCTGCTGTGCGGGCGAGATACTCTCGGTAGCTTGCCGGGCTCTCCGAGAGGGGCGGAGGAATCGAACTCGGGTTGGCTGTGTTGGCCGCGTGCAAGGTAAACGCCCTATCCGCTGTGCTATTTGTAGCCTTTGGACCTTTGTTTGTATCTTTTAGCCACACCTATGAGAGAGGTCATTATTGTATCCCTTTCCTTCGAACTGACTTGACTCAGCATGATATCCTCTAGTTCTGTCAATGTTGCTGCAAATTGCATGGTTTTGTTCTTTCTTGGAGATGCATAGTATTCCATTGTTATATACATCACAATATTTTGGTCCATCTCTCTGTCGTTGGGCTTTTGGGTTATTTATTTTGGCTATGAACGTACATGTGCATATCATTTTTTGAATTAATGTTTTTGTGTTTGATGCCACAAAGTGGCATGCTACTTGGATTCCTATTAAGTGGAGATATAGACTGGGACCAGAGAAGAGGAACTCTGAGATTTCTTGTTTGGGAACTGGTCTGTATTTTATAGCATTTGGTTTATCAGTCTGTTTTGAGAAAATGGGTCTATCTCTTATGTATTTATACTTTCTTTGTTTATCTAATTTTAGGTAGATCTTTTACGGGCGGGAGAAGTTCCTAAACCCTTTCCAACACACTTTAAGGATTTGTGGGACAATAAACATGTTAAGATGCCTTGTTCAGAACAAAACTTGTATCCTGTGGAAGATGAGGTAAGAATGTAGATGTGAAGTTCTGTTAAACCAGTGGCAAATTAATTTTAAAAATAACCACACACAAAATATTTTGAGAAAATAGGTTGGATATTGAGGAAAACATTAATCATGAATATTGCTAGTATTTGGCATCTTCCTTTTCACCCTTGGGTATAGGAGTTCAGTTTTCCCAGTGTCCTTATGGTTAGATGGGGTAATAAGATTAATTATCTTATGGATAATAATCATAAGTAGTACATGTAACAGAGCATAGACAACAGGTGTGAACTCTTGCTGCTCCTTTTCCCTTGGCATGGTGACAAATACTCAAGTGGAGAGGCTGGGAAGATAGCGCAAGTGGTAGAGCACATACCTTTGCAAGGTCCTGTTTTTAATATCCAGTACTACTGCATGTCCCCCGCCCCAGCCCCCTTCATCATTGTTAAGACTAGCCCCTGCGCCCACCAGATATTGCTGGGTGGTAACCCCTGTCATGTAAAAATAATTCAGGTGGACATGGTAGCACCTGTAATACCAAAGTAAGCTTGATACCAGTTGGAAAGTGGCCACCTGAGTTACCCAGATAAGCCACGAAGTTTCTTTTGAATAAACTTACTATAGTAAATCATTAAGAGAAAAAATACCCCCCTCCCCCCAAATACTTCTGGGTTATTTTTGTTTCTTTGTTTCGGCTACACTCTGATAGGTGTTGATTTAATCTATGGAAAATATTATAATAGTTGCTTGGTTGACTTCTGATTTTATGATGCAAATGAGCTTAGAATGCTTTCTTCATCTGTTTTTCCTTTTACTTAAAGAATGGTGAGCGAACTGCAGGAAGCCGGTGGGAGCTCATTCAGACTGCACTTCTCAGTGAATTCACACGACCCCAGAACCTAAAGGTGTGTTTTTTTCTTGTCTTTGACATGTTATTCTTAGAAGTGGGTTCTGTGTCTCTCCCTCAAATATATATTTTGATGCTTAATAGACACAGGTAATACATTTATATACAAAGTGCATACTTCCTGAGGAAGGAACTCTCCATAGGGACATTCTTGGTTTCCATTCTATTACTAGAATATGAATAGAAAAATTGAGAATTGTATATGACTTGCGTTGCCTAGAGCCTTGCAGAATAATTTGTTGAATCAGGAATAAGACCTCTGTTTCTTGATTTCCCTACCCAATTTCCTTCAATGCAGACTTCTCTTTTGTTTCAGAATTATCATATTTCTGAAATGTGTTTAAAGGTAAATTAAGAAAGACTTATGACTTCAGCAGTATTTGCCCAGGGGGAAGCTTTTTTGTAATGATTGAAGTACACAATAAGCATATTTTTTATTGCAAAAATTTTCTATTTTTCATTGCTCTTATTTTAGCTACTAGCAGTTTAATAATTTATTGATCTTTGGGGGATAATTTTTTCATTTTAAATATTTTAAACAGCAAGGGTAGAGGTAGTTTTTCTAATATACAAACTATGACAAGTGTGTATATGTATATATATATTTCATGCTACATCTGTGTAAACTTTTAAAGTTTTTATAACTAAAACAGTAACATTTTTTATACTTCTTTGTATATGACTTTCACTTTTTTTTGAGAAACTGAATTTCTTAGAGTAGTTTCAGGTTTTATATCATCTTTTCCATGTATAGTTGCGTGCTGTTCTTAAACTGTCTATACTATATTATTTTGTAGTTCCTATTTTATGTTCTTTTTTCTTTATGTGAAAAACATTGATATTTTGTGCCATATGTATTTTAAAAGTTTCATTTCTTAGTGGTAGTGTTTCTCAATCTTGTAACGTACTTACGTATTTATTTTGGTTTGGGGGTCTTTACCTGGTGGTGCCAGGGCTTATTCCTGGCACTGTGCTCAAGGATCACTCCTGGCGGTGCACAGGGTACCAAATGGGATGCCAGAGATCTAACCAGGGTCAACTGTGTGCAAGCATCTTACCAGCTGTACTCTCTCTCTGCTGCAGCAGGTTTTGTTTTTGTCTTTGAAGTGTAAAAACAACCTTAATGTGCTCCAAAGGTTTTGAAAATTTTGTCGTTTTTCATTTTTAAATGTGGGGTGGAATTGAACCCAGGACCTCCTCAAACATGAGAGGTTCTGCTGGTGAGCTGCCTCTGTGGTTCTTTGTAATGTACTTTATTTTCTTTGTTTTATTTTTTTTTTCTTTTTAGGTCACACCCAGAGATTCTCAGGGGTTACTCCTTGCTCTGCACTCAGGAATTATTCCTGACGGTGCTTGGGAAACCATATGGGATGCTGGGAATCGAACCCAGGTCGCCCGTGTGCAAGGCAAGAGCCCTGCCTGCTGTGCTATCACTCCAGCCCCTGTAATATACTTTTTAAATTTTGTTTTGGCTTTTTGGGTCACACCTGGCGATGCACAGGGGTTACTCCTGGCTCTGCACTCAGGAATCACTCCTGGCGGTACCTCAGGGGACCATATGGGATGCTGAGAATCGAACCCGGGTCAGCTATGTGCAAGGCAAATGCCCTACCCACTGTGGTATCACTCTAATCCCCTGTAATATACTTTTAAATGGAAAAAATCATCAGGGTTTTCCAGAGCTTTCTTATTTTTAGTATAACATTAATTATATTTGTGTAAACATAAAACTAATAGTTTGGTACTTGTATAGCTATTTCAATTTGATTTTATTTCTGTTTAAGTGTTATGAACCATGATTTGACTTGTGTTCACTATCACAGTCAAAACCATTTGTTGTCATTCAACAAACCCTACATCAAACCAGGGGCTTTTATTTCTTAAATTGAAGTTCAAAATAGCATAGTATGGATTTTTTTAATGTATAAAGAAAAAAATTGTTTATACTATATTTATTAATCACAGTCCATTGATGTTAGCATATGCAAAGATGGAATCTCTATACACAATACCATTGCAGATAAATATAATAGTGACCACTTTGAACAAGGTTATGTATAATTTAACATTGTACTGTGGTATTTCTTGGGATATCTCAATCTTTCCAACATTTATATCTATTTATTGGCCTTGATTCCTATGGTGTGTTGTCATTTGGACTTTGTTATCCAAACTACCACTATAAACTGTAACAAACACAGAAGCAGAACACCCATAAATACTACCCAGATTCTTATGAGAAACATTATCTTAGTGTTTTGACTATATAAAGAAGGCTCTTTTTAAGAACCTGCTTTTTTTTTCTTAAGTGTAAACACAGAATAATCATAGAGTTCTAAATTACATTCTTTTTTCACCACTTAAGCAGTTCCTTAGTGTGTCATGATTACTTTAGGAAGGGTAATTGCTTTAATCTGAATTGCCCTTTCTTGTTTATTTTATGGTAGATTCAACAGAACAGAGTAATCCATCGAGATTTTCTTCTACCTGCATATGGTAATTGTTTCCTTTGCTGAAAGAACACTGTGAGAGGGAAAGGAAATACCAAATCCCTCTTGCGGAATTTACTGTATTTATTACTGTTTTTAGCCATTTGCTGTTAAATTAAGAGAGGGTCAGTACTGCTAAAAAGTTAAGAAGTTCCTTTTAGAAAGGAACAGTTTCCTCAAACATTGATTTACAAAGTAATATCTACGTAAGTGAGCTGTGTAATAAGACAAAGAATGGACTTCTTTATACTTTATTGTATTTATTATGAATTATGAACTGAAAAGCTCTCAACAGTTGAAAAATAGGAATATAAAATAACTTGCAGTTTTTCCACTAGAACATCTCATAATAGTTTTGAGATCTGAAAATTAATACTTAACGCTAATTATAAGGTCCATAAAAGGATTAGAGTAAGTGGATATTTAAAATGTTTACCAATGTAACAGTTTTGAGGATTCTTTCATGTCCTTTAAAATCTATTTAAAGTGTAAAATTTCATGAAATTTAGCTTTTGCACTTCCTTTGAGTTTCTACTACATTGTAGGTTACCTGCAAAATATTTCTGTTGTGGGACTGGAGTGATAGCATAGCAGGTAGGGTGTTTTCCTTGCACATGGCCGACCTGGGTTCAATTCCCAGCATCCCATATGGTCCCTTGAGCACTGCCGGGAGTAATTTCTGAGTGCAGAGCCAGGAGTAACACCTGAGCATCTTGGTGTGACCCAAAAAGAAAAAATACATATATATTTCTGTCATCCCAAAAGATTTCTTTACCTTTTTGTGATTGATTTATTTTTCTGTTTTCACCCCAACCTATTATTCATTTGCCCTTTTTTAAAAACAAAATTAAGAATCAAAAACCTATTGGCTGATTTTTATTTTGTATAAATGAAATTGCTTTGTATGTTTGTATGTCTGTCTTCTTTTACTCTGAATGAAAGATTTTCTTGATTTATCTGTATTGTTGAGTATATCAGTAGTTTTCTCCAGTATATGCATAGTTTGTCCATTAGACTATTTTTTTTAAATTTTTATTAGTGAGACATCATGAGGTATAGTTATAGACTTACAAATTTTTGTGTTTGGGTCCATTAGACTTTTTTGTGTAATAACTTGTGTGTAGTTCTGAAACCAGATACCAGAGATGAGAAACAAGTCTTACAATCTTTTCTTTCTTCATTAAAAATGTTTTATTACTTTGAAATAAAAGGCTTTTTTTTTAAAATGTTATTTTTTGATGTTCTACTCAGTTCCCCCACCGCTTTCTTAAAGGAACTTGGAAATCTTTTGATTCCAAGGAAATTGTATAAATTTTGTTGAGTCATATTTGGGGAGAGGGGAAAGGCATACCTAACAATGCTCGGGTCACTCCAGGCAGTGCTCAGAAGACCATAAGCAGTTATTGGGACTGAACTGGAGTCAGCCATGTGCAAGGCAAGTGCCTTACTCCCTGTACTATCTCTACAGCCTACCTTATTTTTTAACCTAGATGCTTAGTGACAGTTTTTATGCATGTATTTTTCAGGAAGTTTTTTTTTAATTTGTTCATTTTTAAAAACTTCAACAATAAGAACATTTGGAAAGATTATATTGATTATTTCAGTGTTTTTTCAATCTTATGGTCAATATATATCTTTAGTTAAAAATAACTTGGAGGAGCTGTTGTGATAGCACATCGGGTAGGGTGTTTGCCTTGCACGCGGCCGACCCGGCTTCAATTCCCAGCATCCCATATGGTCCTCTGAGCACCGCCAGGAGTAATACCTGAGTGCAGAGCCAGGAGTAACCCCCCGTGTTTCACCTGATGTGACCCAAAAAGGAAAGAAAAAACTTGGAATTGGGGCTAGAGCAATAGCACAGTGGATAGGGCGTTTTTCTTGCACGCGGCCGACCCGCGTTCGATTCCCAGCATTCCATATGGTCCCCTGAGCACCACCAGGGGTAATTCCTGAGTGCAGAGCCAGGAGTAACCCCTGTGCATCACCAGGTGTGACCCAAAAAAGCAAAGCAAAACAAAAAATCGCTTGGAATGTGTTTGAATATAATTAGTAGTTTATAAATCATATTTATCATGATACAAATATAGCTGTGCATTCTACAACATAGGATATCATATCGTTACTTTGGTGAGCATATATGTATGGTGTTGGGGTTTAAATCTCATGCCTCAGACATGACAGGCATCCCTTCTACCACTGAGCTACATACATCTCTTGTCCTTCAAAATAGAATTTTAAAAGGTGATGTGGAATATAATCGTAAACAATCGCTTTTTCTGCATAACTGATAAATTATTTTATATATTCCTCTTTGGTAACCTGGTGTATAAGATGTACTCAGCAGTTAAAGTCACACCAGTAGGTGGCATACTGCTTTGACGTTTCACTACATAAATGTGTAATTTCTGTCACCTTCTGGAAGAGAACCAATTTTTATAACTTGTGAAAGTATTCCTCATTGTTTACTGATCTTTCCTCACCTGACAACCTTCATATACATTCTTATTGCAACTTAACTTTCTCCATGAAATTTTACTTATTTTTATTGGCAGGGGAGGGTCTTCCCAAATAGTGTTCAGGGGGTCACTCTCAGTAATGTTCAGCCAGCGAGGCTAGGGTCAGTGCTTGCTACTTGGAACTTACGGTGTTAAGCACTACACTTATTGATACTGGGGATAGGATGGTGTGCAGTGCCAAAGTTGGAACTCAGGACTTTAAGAATTCAATGCTTGCATTCTAGTCCTTTGTGCTATCTTCTTGGCTCCTGTCCCAGCATAACATAGATGTCTTGAGATAGTAGTTTATAATTCATATTTGACAACATAGTGTAATAATAATTGACGGCCAAAAATCATTATCTTATTTTGGGATTTTGTTGTTGTTATTTTGTCTCCCAGTTATTCTTGGCCAGCTGGCTGGTGGTCAGTGTAAGGATCAAAGGATTTGATACTGCTGGGGCTATGTGGGATAGGGACCACCATGTTGTGCTGGGGAATCCTAGGGTTGTACCTGTGATATTCAGGGGACCATGTTTTGCTGGAGATCAAAATGGGAACAGTTGCTTGTAAAGCCTATGCTTTAAGACCTGTACTATCTCTCTGACCCTACCTTTGCTTTTTTAATGTCCCAGGATCTTATTTTTGTGCATTTGGAGTTTATCATCTATCGTGTAGTTTACATGTCGTTTACATGTGTAGTCAATAATGGTATTTTTTTCCTAAACTCAAATCTTTCTAATCTCATTTTAAGTGAATAATACATTAATGTGTTATTTATTCATAAACACTGATGTGGAAAACTAATGGTAGGAGGAAGCTATCTAGTATTAAAAATTTTACTGGAAGTTCATGAAGGAAGTAGACTATTTATAGCTATTTCACTTGGCTTTATCATGAAATTTTTGGTTTTTATGCTTTTTCCACAGGAAGCTATTCTGAAATATAATGTGGCATATTCGAAGAAATGGGACTTTACTGCTTTGGTTGATTTCTGGGATAAGGTAAAATGTTCATTCTTTTAACCATGAAAATAATATGACAGTTCTATAAGAATTGAATAAACATCCTGTTAATTCAATTGCTATCACAGTTATTATTATACTTTTTGTGAAATATTTTCTTTATTATTTAATACTCGCTTTTAGGAGCGCAGGGCGCCCATTCCTGATTCTGTGTGAGCCTAGAGATTTCAGTCACAATAACCGCATACCTGGGTTTTTCAGCGGATTCATTCTCATGCATAAGGGGCTTATCCTAGGCCTGTGGAAATCAACCATGAGTTTAGTAGCAGTTGGGTTCTCACACTATATTTTTTAAACATTTTCTATTGAAATAGTAGATTCTTAAGACATTGCAAAGAAAATGTACAGGAAGACCCTATATGTACTTCATCCCACTGTCCTCATTACATAACTAATGCAGTATTAAAATCAAGAAATTTCAGTAAGAGCTTATTTATGTAGAGCTCACCTATTATACCTGTACCCAGTTATATGTGAAAATTAATTGTAGTATTATTGCTGCCATAAAAAAATGTATTATGTGCTAAAAGGTTGAAAGTATATATAGACACTACTTTGAGTACAAAGAGGCAGGGAAGACAGAAAAGAGATCCCAGTTGAGATAAAGCTTAACTGAGTCTAAAAGAAAGTAAAGTTAAGCTGCACGACTGAAAAGTGATTTAGTCATTTGTATGTCAGGTTTGGTAACATTCACAAGATAATACTGGAGAGATGAAATGAGTGGGAGAATATGATAAATATAACTTAATAGGACTGAAAATAGATGAGGTTTTAAAATATATGGTACTGATAGCTCATTTTGTGATAGCAACTTGAAGGATGAATTTGAAGGGAGAAACTCTGTACATAAGGTCAGCTGTATATTGTCACAATAAACCACCTGAGTCATGGTGATGGCATAGATGAGACAGGGATAATAAAATAAGAGTAGTCAAAAAGTATTTAGGAAATAAAATTATTTTGCCTTAATGTAAGAAGATAACGGAGAGCTAAAGATCAAGATTTCAGTGTCATCAACAGGTCATGGTACTGTATTAGTGATGGGAGTAAAACAAAAACTAAATTACAGACTCTCTCTCAAGGAGGAGTATGGGAAATGGGTAAGTTAAAAGTCAGTAAGAATAGTGATACCTACACTAAAACATTCAAGGACAAGAAAATGCTAGGTGGGCATGGGGAAGAAGTCCAGGAAAGTATGCTGGTAGAAATATCCTAAAGTGTAATTCTGTTTTTAGGTACGATGGATTTGAGGAAAGAAATAGGCCTTTTTTTTTCTTTCTTGGATAAAACTAAGATAAAAATACTGAAAATCAAAATAAAGGAACTAAAATAATTTACCTTTAAGATAACATCAAATCTATGAAGTGTGAAACAGAAGTAGTTGGAGAGTGATATAAATACAGATAGAAAAAAACAATGAAAAGATTAAGAACCAAAGAATAATGAGAAGGGTGTGGTGCAGGAGTGTTATACTTGAAACCTATCATTAACGGAACCATGTTATAATGAAACTGTATTATTAACAGTATTGTAAACCATGATGCTCAAAATAAATTTTTAAAAGATTCCATTTCAAAAGGGGAAAAAAATAAACATAGAACAAAAAAATAATGAGGAATTACGGCAAAGATGGCTAAAAGAAACAAAGTACAAACCAAGATTTAATGATAAATCCTCGATGAGGACTAACAGTAAGAATTGTGATTTACTTCCTTCCTCTTCCTGTTCCTCCTTCCCTTTTTCAAATATAAGTTTCATTTGTTAAGAGCAAAGGAAGCAGGTAGGTGAATATTATCAGACTTGGAAAGTACAGACAGCAAAGATGAAGGAGAATCTAGATTCAGCATTTTTTTTCTTTTTATTTATTTTCTATTGCAGTATAGTTTATATGATATTAATGACATCATTTGATAGTTGCAGAGCTCTACAGTAATCCCTTCAATAGTGATTCTAGGTCCCTCCACAAATATTCCACATTTTCTTCCACTACCCCCTCAGTTCCAAGTTATACTATGTATCAGTTTTCAGCTGGGGATCATAAACCTCCTGTGTGGGCCCCAAGTTATTTCAAGATGTAAAAGGCCCTCCTGTTGTTCATCGATTTGCTCAAGCGGGCCCAGTAACAGTCTCCATTGGAGACTTTGTTGTTACTGTGTCTGGCATATCGAATACGTCACGGGAAGCTTGCCAGGCTCTGCCGTGCGGGCGAGATACTCTCGGGAGCTTGCCGGGCTCTCCGAGAGGGGCGGAGGAATCGAACTCGGGTCGGCCATGTTGGCTGCATGCAAGGCAAATGCCCTACCACTGTGCTATCGCTCCAGCCCAGCTGAAGACTATATAAATGTGGATATGCAGTAGGAGGGGTGGGGGTGGGAAGCACAGAAAAGAAATAAGGTAAGAAGGGAAGAATGGTTAGAAAAATCTTGATTAGTATCTCCCAAAATGGGTAACAGTAGTCCCTGGGGGTGGGGGACTGGAAGGACCCAGGAGGGCCTCAGTATTTCTGAATGCCATGGGCAAGGGGGATAGGGGGAGTGTTTTCTGTTTGTTCACTAAAAGGAGGTAGATTTCCCGGGGAACTTCATACAAATCTAAATTTTAATATTTTAGTGACTCTGATTAGCTCTCTTTTGGCTCCTACAGTTCTCATAAATTAATTTAATTCAAGCTGTAAAGCAATGCAGACATTATTGATTCACTATTGTGTCACTGAGGGAAGAAATCCAAAAAGGTTAAATTCCCAATGAACTCCAAATCAGAGGTTCGAAAGCTAGAGAGATAAAGACATTAGCTGTAGTCTTACGGAACATTCAAGGTTGCTTTCATTTGATTAGATTTTAGCTATGGGCTCTTTTATGACAAATGTAAAAAGGACACTTTAAATCTTTTAAGCTTTGAAGACTCACAAAATAAATTAAGAAGAACTGCCTGAAGAACACAACAAAAGGCTACTGTAGAAGGTCACAGTCTTTAATGTTTTGTTCATTGGTCAAAGAAAGTTGTTCTGCTTTGAAACTGGTTATAACAATATATTGCCTTGACTCAACTCAACTTTTTGCAAATTATTACAAATTATTTATGAAAAGTGACAGTTTACAATTTGAAAGTGACAGTAGAGAAGAAAGGTGAAGCCAAGTGTACTGAACCCAGTACACACAATCCCTTGGACTATTTAAATGGCATTTGGAGATCAAAACCTTCTATCATTTATGTTTGTGTTTCTTTCTGTTGCTGCTCAATATGATTTCCCTGGACAAAGTAACTAATCAATATCTGTTACCTACGTATAAGTAAATTCAAGCATAAAGTATTACACACTGTCCTCCTGTTGTTCATCGATTTTGCTAGAGTGGGCCCAGTAACGTCTCCATTTTCAGACTTCTTGTTACTGTGTTTGGCATATTGAATACGTCACGGGTAGCTTGCCAGGCTTTGCCGTGCGGGCGAGATACTCTCGGTAGCTTGCCAGGCTCTCTGAGAGGGGTGGAAGAATCGAACCCAGCTCGGCAGGGCTGGCTGTGCTATTGCTCCAGCCCAAGCATAAAGTATAGGTAGACTTATTGGGTTGTTCTCATCTTTGGGCTCTTTGATTTTTGTGGAGGGTGCTTGGGCCACACCTAGCTATGCTCAGAGCTTAGTCCTGGCTCTACATTCAGGGTTCACTCCTGGCAAAGCCTTAACGTCATATGGGGTGCAAGGGATCGAAATCACATGTAAGCCACGAATGCCTTACCTTTTGGGCTATGCTTTGGCTCAACCGATCCATGGTTCAGGGGCCCATTTTCTTCTTTATTTTGTACATGTGAAAAAATAACAAAGGACTCAGATGTTATTAAACCTACTCTCTAAACCTGTTTTATTTGATGTAACTAATGCCATTCAGCCCCACACTTCTTCAGTATTGCATGGTTTCTGACCAAAATTCAGTGACTATTTTCAGACTCATCTGTATTTAAAATTAATTGCAGTTAATAAAAGTAGCCTAATGCTTTTGAATAAAATTAGGTGCATTTAGAAAATCCCCGATGTAGGGGCTGGTAAGAGTACAGCATTTAGGGTGTTTGTCCAGCATGCTTCCAACCCAAGTTCATTCCCTGGCATCCCATATGGTTTTCTGAGCCCTGCAAGCAGTGATACCTGAGCATAGAGCCAGCAATAAGCTCTGTGCATAACTGAGAGTGGCCTGAAAAAAACCCAAAAAATCCCCAACTGAAGACTGGAGAGATAGTTAAGCAGAATAGAGCCCATGCTTTATGTGCAGATAAATAATCTGATCCCCTTGTCTACATATGGTCCAAGATGGGAGAAACCTCTGAAGTCTGCTAGGTATCACCTAAAAATCACAGTTGGAGAGTTGGGTGGGGGGTGGGGGGATGGGGAAATCCAAACAGAAAATTTCAGGTATACATATTTATACCATCCTGCTGTACATATGTCTGGGAACCTTTGAATCTTGAACCTTGAACAGCTCTATTGACCGTTTCTCTGGTTTGGCATAACTGATAGTATTAGATTCATGTATCCAAACAGGAACCTCTTACCATATATGACTGTTTAAAATTGAAATTAAAGGACTGGAGAGATAGTACAGTGCTAAGATCCTGGCAGGAAAAAAATACATGCACACACACACACACACACACACAAACACACACACACACACACACGCATGCATATAAAGTAATAAGTAAGAAAATAAGCATGACTGGTGGCATTCCTTTTGGGAAGAGCAGAAGTTTCATTCAGTGCAATAGGTCATCTCTAAAGTTCCTTCTACAGCTCACACCTGAATATAGCATAGCCCATTTTAAAGGAATGTTTTTATTGTAATAACATTTGTGTTAATTTTTAATAAATTTGTGATATTTTTCTTGTAAATATTCTTCCACCATTGCTTTCTGTTGAGATCAAGGGTAAATATCTAGATTTTCTGCCACCAGGGGGGGCCCTCACCTTTTGGAAATGTTATATTTGTTTCA